CACTAAGCCATTAAGATGCAAACCATAATTTTGCACTGGCATAAATATGCAAACCATAATTTTGCACTGGCACAAATCGGCTTCTTTGTCCCATTAAGACATGAAGATGCAAACCATAATTTTGCACTGGCATAATAAATATGCAAACCATAATTTTGCAAACCATAATTTTGCATTGGCACAAATCGGCTTCTTTGTCCCACTAAGCCATTAAGATGCAAACCATAATTTTGCACTAGCACAAATCGACTTCTTTGTCCTTGTTATTCCCACAATTATCCATCCATTATCCCACTTCTGAAGTTTGTAGGAGGCCTTAGCGAGATTTAATAAATATTTTAAATGAAAGTTCACTCAGTAATCTGTAATATCCACTTTTAATTGTAAAAAATTGTAGAAACTTGACAAACTTTAAAAAATTATCTGTCTCTGGGACAACTGCTGTCAACTACCTTTTCACGTGTTGCTGGTCTACACCATATCCTGGAGGCAAAGTCTACACTACCTTCTTAATAAAACGATAAAATTTCAATTTTTTTATTTGGCCGCATGAGAGTGATTTTTCAAGGTCGCGTCACGAAACGATTTATAAAATTTTCGTCTCGCAAGTGAGATGAAGCATATGATGAATATGAGGGAGACAGAGAGAAGGAGATCGATAAATAAGTATTCACTTCTATCACGTGTACTGTGCTGCACGCGACTTTTTTTTTTGTTGAGATTTTGTGTCCCAATGGTTCTTTGGGAACCCTCAAACTCTATACACTAAATTATTCTGAGATTTGGAGCCAGATTCTATGCAGGGCCGGATTTAGGCACAGGCAACCGAGGCAACCGCCTGGGGCGCCACAATTAGGGACGCCAAATTGCAAACAAATTTATTCCGAGTGAACAAGTTAATAAAAAAAATGTTTTATACCACAAAGACAATAGGGAGATAATAAAAGATCCAACAACATTGTCCAGTAATAGTTAATTTACGTGTCACCACTGTCACCTGTCACCGCTCATCAAGCATCAAGGCACTTTCGATCCTCTTTGTCTTAAAATAGATTGAATGAACTTTCGCTCTAAAATTAAAAAAATGTTTTAATCTTCGACCATTGAACACACTCGATGGTTATAACATATTGATGGTGTAGATCATACGTCTGTTCTCACAGAAATCACAAACCAGTGAAAGCGTTTTTGATTGGTTGGTGCAACAACCAGTTTTATGACTATTTTCAACCAATGAAATTCCCTCTGACTGGTTAGTGATTTCTATGAGAACAGACCTCATGCAATAAGTAAATGATATAGGTACTTTATTTTAAAAAATGAAGTTACTTTTTTTGTCTTATTCTCCTACTCTCTGAACAATAGCCTAAAATTAATTGTTTAGCATATTGATCTTTAACCATTTTGACAATACAATTTGAGAAGGGGGGCGCCATAATTGAACTTTGCCTCGGCATATAATAGCTATTGGACCGGCCCTGATTCTATGAAAAAACACACTCAGAAAAATTGATGAATCAACCCAAATTGCTTAACACGATTTTATTTCTGGATCTATAAGTACAATAATGGGCTGAAATTTTCAGTTTTGTACTCTACTGAGATAAGAATTGCTGACAATTTCAGCTTTGTGTTTATAATGGAAAAAAAGTTATGACTTTTCAAAGTTTTCCAAAATTTAAATCATAAGGAACTAACTACTAACTACCATAGTACTAAAACGATGAAATTTCATTTTTTTTTTTGTTGAGATTTTGTGTCTTTTTGTTCAGGAAACTCCATTAAATGGTATTTCTGAGAATAGACGAAAATTGAACTAGAAAAATTGAGAAAAACAGAAAAGGAATGTTAGAACCATTGCGAAAAAATTGGTATAGTTGAAATGACGATAGAAAATGTAGTTGACAGTTCGCGCTGACATTTTCTACACCTTTTCCATAAGTATTTCAGAATGTATCACTTGTATTTCAGATTCATCAATTCTAGTTCAGAATGCGTCAATTGTATTTCAGTTGTGTAAGTTCAATTTCAGAAAGTGTTATTTGTATTTCAACTTTGTCAGTTGTAGTTCAGAAAACATCATTTGTGTTTCAGATTCGTCAGGTGTATTTCAGAAAAAGTCATTTGTATTTCAGTTTGGTCACTTATATTTCAGAAATCGTCATTTGTGTTTCAGATTATTTATTTGTAGATCAGAAATTGTAAATTGTATTTCAGAATTCGTCAAATGTATTTCAGATATTATCAATGTAGTGTATTAAATAAAATTTATAATGAGTCACCTATACACCTATCTTGTGTGTTGATTTGGGGAAATCTGCGTAGATATCTACTAATTTCCGAACTACATCTGACAATTTCTGAAATACAATTCACGTTTTCTGAACTACAATCAACTAATCTGAAATACAATTGATGCTTTCCGATATAAAATTAACTAATCTGAAATACAATTGACACTTTCTGAAATAAAATAAACTAATCTGAAATACAATTGATTCTTTCCCAGATAAAATTATTTATTCTGAAATACAATTGACGCTTTCCGAAATACAATTTACTAATCTGAATTTCAATTGACGCATTCTGAAATTAAACTGACGATCTCTGAAATACATATGGAAAAGGTGTAGTAACTTTTTCTTTAGGTTGCATGCATTAGGGCTTTGATTCCGTCAGCTGGAAATGCTGGAATAAACGACCGGGTCGTATTTAGAAAAGTGACATACCAGGTTTGAAACGCAACACCGAAACACAAAGGCACAGAATACTAATAAAAAACAAAAAAACCGATTGCGAATATAAGAAAATATCAAAAAATAATGCAAAAAACCGAGACAATTTCCCACAAAAATTGAAAATTCAAAATTCAAAGATCCAAATATTTTTATATGTCAAATCGAAATGTCATGTATCATTATTTGATAGTTGACAGCAAAAGGGAAAGATCTGGGGATTTTATTTACTTTCAACTGGTGAAAATAACGTTCAAAATTCAAATTCTATCGTGAATTCAACTATACCTATGTATTATCCATTCGCAATCCGATGTCCACAGGTACATGTAAAATTTATCATCTTTTAATGCTATTTGATAGGGAAAGGTGATAAATTTACCTGTAGCTGTGGACATCGGATTGTGAATAGGATATAAGTAGGTCATGTTTTTTTCTATTTCAGGCACTTGAATTATCTCTATTTGGACAAATTCAAGAAATAGTGGTGTTTCTCCATCAAGGCCAAGAAGTACCTATGTCTATCCTTGTTCAATAAATACATTGAAGAGACAGAAAGGTATTGATCAAGAATCGTAAACTCTACAGGATTGCTCAATCGGCTAAATTTGTTCACAATTGCTGTGACGTCACGTGCATCCCTGATTTTCAAGATGGCCGCTGATACGAATGATGTTCAGTTTGTGCTGACAATTATTTTATCGTAAATTCGGATTTATCAAGTGTTATAAGTGTAATTTAAAGTTTCATTTAATGTGTGTAAGCATAAAAGACTCGTGGCTGAAAATACTCGCGAAACCCCAAGCATTTTCTGGTTTTAGTGGTTATTTATAAATACTGGATTTGTTGTATCAGGACATAGCTTCCTTTTATTCGTGCGTGTATTGCTTAGTTTTCTACTGTTAGTATTTTCTAGTCAAGTATTCGTATTGCTTTTTTTCGTAAATCAAATAACTACTTAGCTGTAAGTTTCCTTTGCATGTAATTACTAACAATTTGTTTGTGAAGAGTGAATAAATAAATATGTAAATAAATTTCTTTTTCTCCTAACGTCAGAAAAACATCACTTTGTTAACCCCTGTCAAGATGTCAGAAATTTGATTTCTATGCTGCTAGGCAAATCCAGCGGATTAACACCTGTCGAGGTGGTAAAAATTCGATTTCTATGCTGCTTGGCAACCCCAGCGGCAGCAAAAGTACTTTTAATGTCGCTGGAGCGGCAGTAGAAGTACTTTTAGTGCCGCTCGTACTTTTACTGCCGCTCAACCATTCACTTGCCCCCGAGCTTACCCCATTCGTTTGGAGAAAAAATAGCGTGTTGCATACGGAGTAGAAGCACTTTTTTGTGCTTCAGCAGTATTGCAAGCCTCACTACGTTCGGCCCGCAAACCTACCGCTTCAGCACAAAAAAGTAAAGCTTCTACTCCTAATACAACAATCTATTACTGGCGCGGTTACTATGAAAACGCATGGAAAATATGGGAAACTTGCAGTGTTTTTCTGGAATATGATTATGAAAATCTAAATTAGGTATCACTATTTGGCTTTGTGAAATAAGCTTACTTTGAATGTCCATATTAAATCGTTCTAGTACCTATTAAACTATTGAATAATAATTGAGAAGTAGGTAGGGGCAGTAAAAAATAAAACACACTATTGCAACCACGTTTCGCTTATATTTTGATATCGATATGCAAAAATTAAACCGGCTCGCTCAAGTTGGCACCCCACATTTGGTTTTCTACTGTTTCTTCTCAACTATAGTTTACTGTAGTCAATTGTGCCCGTTTTGTGCTCAATTGTGCCAGTATTTATGCGAATTGTGCTTATTTCTATACACAAAAAAAACATTGAAACAAATCCGGGGGCCAGCTTGACTCCAGCCCTTTCTTTTTTTGACTTTTTGGCAATATGTTTGGCTAGTTGATAAACAAAAGCAAACAAACTCGTCTTTCTAATTAGCCAACCACTCAAACCTCAAAGACACAAACTTTTGAAGTCTGCTAATTTTAAAATTAATAAATTAATTACAAAATACAGTTTTCAAAGCAAATAACCTCAAAATAACAATTTTTCACGTTTGAAAATGCAAGGAAAGTGCACTGTCATAATAAAACACAAACCGATCAAGGACTGTGTGACGTCATTCGCATACCGCCATCTTCGATGTTTTTATGAACGTTTGCCTTATGGGATTGAGCAATCCTGTAGAGTTTACGATTCTTGGGTATTGATAATACAAGATAATAATCAATAATGGCGGGTGTTTTAAATATTCACCCATTTGGTTGTTCTAACCTAACTTTATAATTTAAATAGCGATTTTTTTTTTCAAAATTTATTCTCCCATTCCTATATATTGAACAAATTAACAAATAAAGAATTAAATTTAATAAATCACATTATCCTCATTATTTTAAAGATAAAATTTGTATTTTGTTGTGAAAAATTTATGGTGACCTCTTTATTGAAAAAATAATTAATAATGTCCGGTGTATTTATACTATCAAAATTTTCCAGTTCGATTATAGCCAAACTAAAACTTTTATTACCTAAAGTGCAATTCACAGAAGTTTTGCTTTCTGGTAAGAGTCCTAAGCCACAAATATCTACACCTTCACAAAACATCTTCCAGATTTATCACCTCTTGAAACTGCTGAAATAATTATTGGCGATTACGACTTGGTAGGACCCCATCTTTATACTTTACCCAAACTCAAATGGTACCAGGGAACATGGGCAGGCCTGGACAGTTTATGGCCGCACATTCTCAAAAACCAACTTCCCAAATTTCCAATAACAAGAACTTCTGGAGACAATTTCGGTCGGATAATGGGTGAATATGTTGTGGGGAATATTGTATTTTGGGAAAGGAACTTGTTCAAGATGAGGGAAAATCAAAATAATAAATTGTGGGATCAAAATGTATGCGAACATGATCATAGGACTTTTGCTGATTTGGAAATTGGGATATTGGGAATAGGTTCTATTGGCAATCTAAGTATAATTTTATTAAATTATATTCTATATCAATAATAATTATTACTTATTAGTTGGTAGGACTTTAAACTATTTAGGTGCAACAATTTATGGATATGGTAGACAAGAGACATTACAGTTGGAAAATGAAGAATTCAAACACATAACTGAATATTTCACTAGAGCAAACCTACACAAGCTTTTAAGCAATGTGGATTATCTTATTAATGTTTTACCTAAGACCGAAGAAACTGTAAATCTTTTAGGAAATGATATTTTGAAGACTTGTAAAGGTTGAAGATTATTCTTGTTCTGTGTTAATAATTTTAATAATAATTCTGCAGATAAAAATGTTGTCCTAATCAATATTGGCAGAGGTTCTGTAATTAAAGAATCTGAATTAATTCACGCTCTCAAACAGAAATGGATATCAGGGGCAATTTTGGATGTTTTTGAAACTGAACCCTTGCCCAAATCTAGTGAATTGTGGAATTTTCCCAATGTAACAAAGTGATTCCTGGTGTTTTTTTCTTATAATGAGTATTACATTTTCAGGTGTTTATTACGCCTCATGTGGCTGGGAATAGCAGGAGTCAAGATATTGCAGCCAAATTCAAGGAAAATTATGAGAGATTTTTGAAAAATGAACCTTTACTTCATAAAGTAGATTTTTGTAAAGGTTACTGAAATGTAGGTGCAATAAAGTAATTCAGAATGTAAAAATTTGGGTTTGAAAATTTACTAAGCATAAAAGGTACAGCCTTTTTGAAAACTTTCTAGTTTAAATATAGGTAGGTACCTTTGAGGGTGAAACGAATGAAGACCTATGCAAGCAGTTTTCTAATTGAATGTTAATACATATTTAAGGGGGCGATTTTTGGATCTATTTCGAAAAAAGAACTTCATGATTTACTTCTTTCTTCGTTAAATAGCCAATAGGAATAGAAGAATAATTTAAAAAAATTATCCCTATTTAAATCATTAAGTTACAACCACTAATCCCAATCGATGTTTTTTAACAGGCCCGCCATTTCAATGAATATTTTTGCATTCTCAATACATGTCTATTTTTTTCAATGTATTTACCTATTTAATAAGGATATAAACGTACCTACTTTTTTTGTATAATAGTATGTTAGAAGAGAAACACGTTAAACTTCACTATTTCTCATTTTTTGTCTATTCTCGGCTTTTGAATTTGGGGAAATAGAGAAAATTCAAGAGCCTCTGGATAGAAAAAATATGAATATCCAATCTACCTACCAATTTTTTCTCACTTTTTCTTACTTTCCTTTTCTGTTTTTCTTGATTTTTCTAGTTCAATTTTTGTCTATTCATTTCCTATTGTTATAATGGAAACTCTTAAGATAATTTTTGTGCAAGTAGGTAAGTACCGTATTCTGACCGACTATACATTTTTCAAAATAATTACTACCTGATAATCTTTCTAGTATCAAAATGAACATAAATTATTAGTTATTGACGTCAGTTTGTAACTAAATTAAAGAGTACGAGCGTCAAAATCAAAACTACAACTTGACTATATAAAATATAAATTCACTAAAACATTCATTCACCACCCCGTTATAAAAGCAAATAGACGAACAATATTTTTCACAAACAATGATGAGTCAATCGGGAAAAAAGCTGTTCAAAAAATCTCAAGTTCAATTTTTCAGGTTCAACACTTGGATTTTGAAAATGTGCCTTTTGTGGCCAGGCGATGTAGATTACGAATACAACAACGAGAGGCTCGTAAAAGATTCGATAATGATTTTATCGTTGATGCCTTGTGCCATTCCTATTTTAGCCGATTTTATTTTACAACTCAGTGGTAATAAATAATATCATTATATACCAAACTTACCTAAACTTACCAATACTAACTCAAAGTAACCCAACTTTACCAATACTGAGCCAAATTAACTCAAACTTACCAATACTAACCCAAAGTATCCCAAACTTACCAATATTATTAACTCAATGTTATTTATAAAAATCTTAATTTGAAATTTTTTAAGGTAACGTTCCTATTATAACTGCAGTTGTAGAAGATATGATTGCCTTGATTTGCATTATAGGAATGATATATTTGGTCATTTGCTTTATTAATAATCGTAGAACTATAACTAAATTAATGGTGAGCTACTGAGGTCCTAACAAAAACAATATTGATGTACCTACTTAAATTTCAGATTGATATAAAATATTTTGGAAAATATGGAAATTCGGCCAGAACCAAAGAAGTGGACGATAAAGCAAACTTTATAAGCAAATTATTCATGTTTTATGGCATTTTAGGTAACTTTATGTATATGCTAATGCCTCAGCTGAGTGTGCAAAAATGCCACGAAACTAAAATTGCTAGAATGGTAGACGATGGGGCACCTTGCGGTCTTGTAAATATTATTACCGAAAACTTTAATTCAACATAAAAATCTTAGGTTGTCCGCAGTATTTTCCCATTCAAATTCGACTATACGCCAATGTTTGAAATCGTTTTCGTTCATCAAATCTACACTTGTACCATGGTCTCGCTAATGGTACTGGTACTGACGAATTTATTTTGTGGCTTTTTGATGCACATTGTTAACCAACTGGAGAATCTTAGAATTTTTATTGGGCAATTGCATGAAAGTACTAAGTTCCAAGAAGATTTTTATTTTATCATACGTTATCATATCCATGTTATAGAGTAATGAGATTTGCTTTTTAGGTATACAAGTTATTGGAATAAGTTTTTTAGATATTCTCGAGAAACTGCTAAAGCCTTTAGTACAATGTTACTGTTTTACATTACACTTATTTCAGTAATTTTGAGCGTTTTATGTTTTGAAGTTATCATGGTAGATGCTTTTGAAGATTCAGTACGTTTTACTTTGCATTTGTTTGGTTGGTTGGTTATTTTGTTTTCAGTCAGCTATAGCGGACAACTTCTGATAAATGAGGTATAAAAAGGTTTTGTTGCAATAATTATAAAAATATTACTATATATTGTAGAGTATCGCAGTCGCCAATGATATTTATTCATTAGACTGGTTCGATTTACCAGTAGACATACAAAAAAAAATTCAAACAATAATAAGACGCGCACAAAAACCTTTGGTCATGGATGCTGCAGGCATGGGTATTGTTTCATTGCACTCCTTTTTATCCGTAATAATAATAATTATAATTTACACAAAAATTTAACTTGGTGGTTTGTAGGTTTTAAGTTCTGCATATTCTTTTTTTACGCTATTATTGAAGTTCAAGGATTGATTTTAACGGAAACAAACAGCAAAATGAAACATTCTTTATATTACACCTGAATATTTCACTTATTAAGATAAATTATTATAAACTCCATAAAAATTTCTCGATTATGTGCGTGTTTAATTTTGTACATTTTATCCTACAGTATATCTGTCTCTCTCAGCTTCATTCATATATTAAATACATAACACCGTCAGTGAGTGACAGTGACGTGTGACGTTTATTTTTGAGGTTATAAATCTTTGTTTGTGTTTGGTCTGTTTGGATTTAAGGGATTTGGAATAGAAATTAGAAATTGAAAATAATTCTTTATAATTTTCCATCAAACAATTTGTTAATAATAAATTTGCAACAATTGATTCCACAAGCATGAAACCCGCAGTAGTGGTCGATGAAATGTTCCCGGAGGGTGCAGCACCTTACATGGAATACGATGAGGTAAAAAAAAAAAAATTTTTCAATAATTTAATGCTAATTTTTCTATTACCGTGCGTAAAATACTCACTTTACGCACTTCAAAAGACATAAAATTGTTGTTATTTAAGTAATTCACTTTACACGCTTGTTGCATAAATACCTATTATTTCTAGTTCTTGATAAGCTAAATTTCAGTACAGATTTTAACTGACAACATGACATACAACATAACAGGTAGATGAATAAGAAACACAGTAAATAAAGCTGGATTTATAGTGTCAGTATCAGTAACAGTAAAATATTAAAACACGGCCTGCCGTAAAGCCATTTATAATTCACTTAACAAACTTAACAGTAAAACTTAAGAAATGGTTATTTTCATATCTGTTTTTAAGTTTTACTGTTACTGTTACTGATACTGACACTATAAATCCAGCTTTAGGCTTAGAAATAAGGTAATGAGATATACAACAATTTTTATTTATTTTTTTTCAGTCCGGAGGTGCTTTATTAATTGACTTGACTGCTAATGAGAAAGCTGTCCATGCTGATTTTTTTAATGGTAAGCAATAGGGATGTAAGCAAGTTTTTCTGACAATGTCATGTCACAGTCAAATTGAAAATGACGGTCATGCCATTTATTTTTATGACACTCTTGTCATTTATTTTTTTTATCGATTGAATTTTCTGACAGTCAAAATAATAACTGACAGTCATTAAAATATAATATGACCGTCATTGAAATATATGACAGTGTCACAAAAATATCAGCTGACTTTGGAATTTTACTGTCAATCCACAAAACATCCCCCCTTAGAAATGTAAGTCTTATGAGAGACGTCAGTCTAGTCGTTTCAGCTTTCCCCTCCAATCACTAGAGGCGCTTCAATCAACCTATTAAAGTTTTCTTTTTCCTGCCGGACCGTGCGCCAAGATTTGAAGTTTATTTTGTCATTTCCAGTCGTCAAAATTTAAATTTTGAACTTCTCCCAACATTTAGAATTATCAATTACCTATCAATTATCAATAATTATTATCTCAAAATGTCTCCTCCCAGTTTGTTAATTGAAAAGCATCAGAAATGCTGTGTTCCGGGGTGCGGCGACAAATACAGCAGCTATTTCCGGTTTCCAAAAGATGCCGAAAAAATGAAACAATGGCTAGAAAAAGTTCGCAATCCTTTACTAAATAGCCTCAGTGTCGAGAAGGCTTATAATAATTATAGAGCGTGAACAAGACATTTTCCTCGAGAATTTATTGTTGGCGATCCAAAAGCCAGACGAGGACTCACATGGAATGCTGCGCTTTTGCTGTATCTCCCTGAAGGTAAGTTAATACTAGATATATGTGAGAAAGACGTACTTACATTTTCACTTATTCCTCCCCATAGTTCTGATTAACGACAACGTGTTAGAATTCGGGTTTAAAGGAGCATAGGTCAGAAACATTAAAATTAATTTTAATTTTAGCCCCAATTATCAAAAACAGTAAGGAGTCGTTAATTGATAAACCACAATCACCAAAATGGCAAAAAGTGGAGATCGACACAGTTGAAACTCGTCGAAGAGTCCTAAGACGCCTTCAGAAATTAGTTTCGCAACTATGATTGACATAGGTAGGTAAACATAATAACTCTGTTCCAACACGTCAAAAAATCGTCCCATGAACGGTTTCGAAACCACTCAGTATAACAATTTTAGTTTCTGCGCAGAATCGTGACGGTACATTGTACGGTTTTCTGCTGTGTTGGAACAAAGCTAATATTATTCATTTCTTTTTTTTAAATGTTTATTCCTTTATCAGGAGACACAATAATTAAAATATTCCTGGTTACATACAGGTACACCATATTCTACAATGCATGTATCCAAACTTTTTTGGTAGAATCGTTGGTAACGAAATTTCTGTTTTAGATCAACCAGGCCCTTCATGTCGTCAATTTTTATCTACTGAAACTTCTGCAATTCGGGCAGACATTGCTACACCAAGTGGAACCATCACATCTGCAAACATGAAAAAGTCACCAACCCACTTTGTCTCTTAAAACTTTTATTGGTAGGTACCTAAGTGTTATTGCTTAATGAATAACCACCCAGTTGGGAGTAGGTGAATTTTAAAACATCCTAACTCAAATAGGACTACTACTATAAAAGACTACTAATTACTAAAACTTGCAGTCGAATGCTAGAAAAATTAGAAGCTAAATGTGCGAAAAGCTCGTCTCCAATCTTGATCTATTTTTTTTTTGCAGGTCATGAGAGACGATGCCAAATTTTAAAGAACATTAACGTCACTAGGCAAAAAATTCCTATCCCCAAGGGAAAAATATCTTTATTCCAAAGTTATAGAATCCAGCAATAAGTTAAGAAGAATCAGTAGAAGGTTGTCGTCATTTAAATCCAAAGTTTCTACTGCTGAATAACTTGCATCATAAACCAAATTTCAAAGGCTCGTAGACCACGTCAATCCATTGATATACAGCTTTATTTTAAGCCAAGTCCGTACTCAAAACCAAAAGCCTAAAGCTAGACGATTTACATTGGACGAGAAGTTGTTGGCGTTGTCTTTGCTTAAAGCTAGTGGTAAAGGGTATAGACTATTATCAAAAATATTTATTCTATCATCCAGGCGAAATCATTTTCTTGAATGAGCTTTATATTATGTATAACTACATAAACTTTCTACCTAACACATGCGGAAAGTGTATTTTCTGGACTTAAAGGCTTGTTTGAACTCTGCTTTTTGTTGTCATTCGTGCAACTTCCATCACGTGCAGAAACACTTTCCTCACTTGTTAGGTTAACAACGATTTTGGATTGTGAGAAAAGGACCTCTTTTGTCATTTTATTTACGATTTAAGTTTTTCATCAAGCTATTGTTAAATGTACGTCATTACTTCTTGTAACTGTCCTTATTATCTTTAACTTAACTAGCATTACCTACCTATGTATGTATACTTACATGAAAAAAAACTGTTTCGCAATAATTGTAATTAATTCCATATTCTTTAATATTTTCTGTTTCAAACTTTAATAAATATCTAAATTTGTCATCTTAATTTTTAGTCAATTTTACCTTGAAGGCGCTTCAACACTACCGATTTTATGAGTTTCTTCTTTTTGGCACAATTATTTTATGCCAAAAAATGGTAGAAACTTTAAAGTGGTGGTGTTGAATCGCTAGAATCAAACAATGGTGCAAACGATCCACCGGAACAAATAAGATACCGAACGAACCCTAATTGCGTTTTGCATTCGCCAATAAATCCAGAATTACAAAAGCTTACCCCCCCAGTCACTAGAGGCGCTGAAAACTTATAGACAGGTTCTCAACACGGCACTTACCTTTCTAAGGGGGGATGTTTTGTGTGTCAATCTTATGGAGAAGATGGAAGCTGTACTTTCTAACTCATTAGATGACTGTGAAACTAAAGAAGAACTTTAGTCAATCAATCAGTTATCTGATTATTGATTTAAGTTACCTTATGGATATTGGCTGTGTTCGTTTTTGTTTTCTTTTTTGTCGATTTGCTCCATAACTCTGACAGGCACGTGACTCGATCAGACAGTTTCAATTTACAAAGCACGTGCCAGTCAAAATTTCGGAGCAAATCGACGAAAATGATGACAAAAACGAACACGGCTGTTGACGGTAAATGACCATAAATGATAATAAATGACAAAAATGACAAAAAAAATTACTGTCACTTATTACAAAAAATAAATGACCGTCATTTTACATCCCTAAGTAAGCAATCGAGGTTTCCAAAGTGAATAGGCTGACTGGTAATGAGAAACAGATGACGTTATCTGGGATGCCTAATGGAGATTTGCATTATGTTTAGGCATTCCAGAAAATGTCAAATTTTTCCACTGAAAAACAACACCATGAGAAATTAATGAAAATCAACTTAAAAAAACTAAATTGAGCAAAAATGCAATCTTCTGCATTTTCATATTTTTCTGAAAAACTACTGAAAGGAAAATTATGAAACTTGTAGAATAAAAAGAAGACAATTAGGAGCTCATCATTGAAAGGACCCCGCACACTCCTTATGAGATTTTGGGATTCGGTCAATTTTTCTGAAAATTTGATATGATGCTACTCTGAACATTTTGATTAAAAGTGTCCAAAAGTACAACTTGATCCTATGACTAGTTTTCGAGATACAGGTAGTTTAATGTCCAAGAAATGCACACATTTTATATGCATTTACATCTACTTGTCACCTGAGCGTGAGGATACCTGTCCATCCTGGTATATTATCAGGTGATAGATAAATGTAAATGCATATAAAATGTGTAAGTACAGGGTATTTGATTATATTTGGCACCATACCTACAGCCTTTACTATTTAAGATGAAAAAAAATTGTAAATACAAAACTTGACAGTTTTTTTCTATATTTTCTTTAAACGTTATCAAAAAAAACAAAATCGCATCGGAAAATGGAGAAACGTAGACAACTTCGATTTTTTAAATGGAACACCCTGTATATTTGTCGATAAAATGAAAGACCTTTTCTTCCTGATTACAAATATATATATATATGTTGATCACATTTGCATGAGCCATTTTTGACATATCTCAGCTTAAATTATAACTAAATTGCAAAGAAATTTTATAAAGATAGAGATCCTTATGGAACTTCTTTGCAAATTCTTTAAAATTTAACCTAAGATATGTCAATAATTGCTCATGCAAATGTTATCAATATATATAAGGTACCTGTCCCAAATAAGGCCACATTAAGAAGTTTTATTTTTTCCTAACATTATCCACTAAGCCCAACAAAAATCACGAGCTTATATGTGAAGTGTTTCGTTTCTATTACTTGAATATTAACTCCAATTTATTTATTTTTTATATAAGTGGTGGTTTTTGCGTAAAACAAAGACGCTTACCATTGGCCTTATTTGGATCACTATGCTCTTAATAAGGCCACCATTAAAAAATCTTTAAAATAAATACAATTAAGGTACCTGACCCAAATAAGGCCATGTACCTAATAAGGCCAATGCCCCTTATTACTTAATATTGAATCCTATATTCAAAAATTGAAATATTATTGAAAAAGATATCTATAATGCAAATCAAAAATTATTGCGAGGATTCCTAGCAACTCGTTATATGTCGAAAAATGGCTAACCACAGATTTCATATGTCACGTTATAACTTTGAGGCTGGAACTTCATTAGTTTATACACATGTTCATAAAGGGAATGGAGTGAATGTAATTTTTACACGGACATTTATGTATTGAGAAAGCTACAGAGTAAGTACAGAATAATATCTTTGCTAGATTTCTAGTTACAGAATTTTTTATCAATGTAACATGTTCCTAATAAGGCCACATGAAAAATTTTCAATTGGCCTCACATCACAGTGTTTTTTTAAAAGAATGTGTCATATTATTGCTTAAGTGATGTGTTCTAGAGCGCCTGAAGTCTAACCAAGCAAGAAAAGCTGCGGTTCATTTGTCCTAGTTGTATGTAGACCTATTCGGATTACCATCCCTGGACTTCAAATTATTGTTTTTTTAGAATGCAGCAAACGTTAAAGTTCTATTTTGAGAACTTTATTTCGAAAAATAATATTTTTATGAATGATTTTATTTATTTTAAACATTTTTTATTGTTGGCCTTATTAGGAGCATAGTGAGTCGAATAAGGCCAATGGTAAGGGTCTTTGTTTTACGCAAAAACCACCACTTATATGTAAAAATAAATAAATTGGAGTTAATATTCAAGTAATAGAAGCGAAACACTTCACATATAAGCTCGTGATTCTTGTTGGGTTTGGTGGATAGTGTTCAGAAAAAATAAAACTTCTTAACATGGCCTTATTTGGGACAGGTACCTTATTTATAATAATAATATTATTTGAGAAATAGAACACAAAATAAAACTAATACGCTTGCTGCATTCCTAAAAAAAACAATAATTCCAAGTTTTGGGATGGTGATGCAATAGGTCTACATACAAATAGAACAAATGAACCGCAGTATCTCTTGCTTGGTTAGACTCAAGACATTTCAAAAAACATCATTTAGGTAATAATATGACATAGTCTTTTGAAAAAACACTGTGATGTGAGGCCAATTGAACATTTCTCGTATGATGGCCTTATTAGGAACATGTTAAGTTGATTAAAAAAAGTCTGTAACTAAAAATCTAGCAAATATATTATTATGTATTTACTATGTAGCTTTCTCAATACATAAATGTCTGTTAAAAAATTACAATCGCTCCATTCACTTTATAAACACGTATATAAGCTAATTGAGTTCCAGCCTCAAAGTTATAACGTGACATATGAAATATGTGGTTGGCCATTTTTCGACATATGACGAGTTTCTAGGAACCCTTGCAATAATTTTTAATTTGCATTAAAGATTTCTTTTTTAGTAATATTGTAATTTTTGGAAATGGGATTCAATATTAAGCGATAAAGGTCATTGGCCTTATTAGGTACATGGCCTTATTTGGGTCAGGTACCTTATATTTGGAATCAGAGAGAATAGATCTTTCATTTTATCGTAAAATATACAGGGTGGTCCATTAAAAAAGTCGAAGCTGCTTACGTTTCTCCATTTTCCGATGCGATTTTGTTTTTTCTGATAACGTTATCAGAAAATATAGAAAAAAACTGTCAAGTTTTGTATTTAAATTTTTTTTCTATCTTAAATAGTAAAGGCTGTAGGTATGGTGCCAAATATAATCAAATACCCTGTACAGTTACGATAAAAAAAAAGTAGTACAAGAAAAATCTCCAAAATCTCTTGGTTTATTATACATTAATTTAATTCATAACCAAAAATGACATATTTTTGGCATTTTTCGACAAGTTTCTAACCTAGAAAGCTTCTTATGACATTATTTTGGCATTTTTCCATCCGTTTTTAACCTAGAATTTGTCATTGCCTGTTTATTTACTGTCAAAATTTTGTATGTTACACTGGGAGCTCAAATTAGGGTTAATAATTTTTGTACTACTTTTTTTTTATCGCAACTGTACATTTCTTGGACATTTAACTACCTATGTCTCGAAAACTAGTCGATCAAGTTGTGCCTTTAGACACTTTTAATCAGAATGTTCAGAGTAGCATCATATCAAATTTTCAGAAAAAATTACCAAGTCTCATAAGTGTGCGGGGTCCTTTCAGATTTTTCCAATGGAAAAACATAACATGAAAAATTACTGAAAAGCAACTTTTATAATTTGAATTGATATTTTTTTTGTAATTGATGTTTCCTATTAAAACTGTCCAAATAGGATCATCCTGTAGGTATTTTCATGGTCTCAAATCTTTTTTCCTTTAATCTTGGAAAAGATTTTAAAAACCTTGCGAGAAAAACTTCTTAATTATTAACAATTATTTTGCTTTTAGATTTTGATGATCTCTACGACGATGACGACCTTAACTAAACAAAGAAAATCACTACTTCATAAATTCCATTTGTTTATTATTGAAAATCGGCTTATCAATTAACATCCTGTAATTTCTACTTTGATAAAATGTAAATACTGTTTGTAGATACCAAAAATTAATTTTTCTTTTGTCACAATCACAGATCGAAAGTGTTTGTTTTTTTTTTTTCAATTTGTTATTCCCTCTTACTATCTACAGTTTACATTTATGTAAAGGTGTTTGTGTTTAATATAGAATATTAAATAAAAATGGCAAATATTAAATAACCTCATAATTATTATTTGTTTTACACCAACAAGAGGTTAAAAATTATTGATAATCAATTAAACAATTTGTACAGCAAATAATCTTGGTACTTACACTTACTTAAGTATATGGACAATGATTGTGCTTAATAGAAAAACACATTAACCATAAAACCTAACCAAAAAATTTTAACAATTAATTAATAATAATAATAATAATAATAGAAAGTGCAATAATAATAATAACTTTTTGTGGAAATATTGGCAAATCTTTTGTTCTTAAAATGACTTTGGTATATGGCATGTTTCGTATTTTTAATACAACTATTATTACTGTGGCACTTTCCATAAAAAAAAACATAATTTTTAATCTAAAATCTCTGAAAAAAAACCTAACAATTAGCTCTGAAATGTACAAAAAATAATTCTGCAAGCAAAAATTTATACAATAAAAACAATTTATTCAATTCAAAATCAATTATTGTTGGGGGGGCAAAAAGTGACAAGAAAAACAGTCCGAGAAAATTGGTCAAGGTTCAAAAAAATTCGACAAAGATTATAAGCGTTTCATTATCACTTTTTCAACATTTGTCTGTGCAAGGAATTAGGGAAATAGTGTGACTAAAACCCAATAAAATTTCAATGATTATTATTAAACTACTACAATCTATTTACAAAAGTATTTTGAGTCTTGATCCACTAATTCAAATCGTCACTGGACAATTCAGAATCGACCTCTTCGTCAGAAAATTCCACTGCTGGCGACATTGGATCGTTGCTGCTAGATTGACGGGAATTTTCTTCTTCCAATGTTGTTTCGACAAAATCGGACATTTGGGGCATTGAAGAAGTGCTGGCGCTGCCCGAATCTAGTAAATCTTCAAGCGGGTTCTTGGAACCCATGGCTAATTTCTCTACGTAGGGCCACAAAGATTCTGGCAATAGAGATTTGATTCTTTCTAAATCTTGTTGAGAACAGTTACCGGTGTTTAGACCTGAAATGGATCGATAATTGAGTTCAAATTGGATATGAGGAAGAAAACTTCAAATTTTGAATCTATAAATATTACAATTAATGTAGAGCCCTCGGTAGAGCCTGTATGATGCAGTGTATAAGAAATCATTTAAATCCTACAAAAAAATATCCAGATTGCTGTGGGAACTGTAAAGTTTAATATAAAGTTCATTCCTCGGTTCATTCATACAGTTTGGAATATTTTCTGGATTTCTGTGAATCAACTCTCATGTCTTGAATTTTAAAAAATGCATTCTCTGACATTTTAATATTTTTCTGGAAAACTACTTAAGGGAGAATTATGAAACTTTTAGCCGATAAAAAAAAAGAAGTTCATTATGCTAAAATTTCAAATTTTTCCAGTGAAAAACAACACTATAAGAAATTAATGAAAATCAACTTGTAAAATTGAAATTAAGCAAAAATGCAATTTCCTACATTTAAATGTTTTTCTAGAAAACTACTTGAGGGGAAATTATGAAACTTTAAGGATAAAAATAAGAAAGTTAAGAGCTCATTATACTTGAATTTCAAATTTTTTGTATAAGTGAAAATCAACTTGCAAAATCCAAATTGAACAAAAATGCAATCTCTTACAGTTGAATATTTTTCTGGAAAACTACTGGGAGCCTATTCTCGGGCCAGGGAGTAGAGCTCCCCAAGAGAACAAATTTTTCGTCTTTATCATTCTCGTTTACTTTTCGATTAAGTTGACAAGGACAAAACATTGGTTCTATCGGGGAGCTCTACTCCCTGGCTCGAGAATTGGCCCCCAGGATGGAAAATTATGAAACGTTTAGGATATAAAGAGGAAAGTTGGGACATCATTATATTAAAATTTCAAATTTTTCCATTGAAAAACAACAACATGGGAAATTAGTGTAAATCAATTTACAAAATCCAAATTAAGTAAAAATGCAATCTTTTACATTTTGATATTTTTCTGGAAAACTAGTGAAGGGAAAATTATATAACTTTTAGGATGAAGAGAGGAAAATAAGAAGCTCATTATACTGAAATTTCAAGTTTTTCCAGTGAAAAGCACCACTATGGGAAATTAGTGAAAATCAACTTGCAAAATCTAAATTATGCAAAAATGTAATCTCTTACAGTTGAATATTTTTCTGGAAAACTACTGGATGGAAAATTATGAAACTTTTAGGATATAAAGAGGAAAGTTGGGACCTCATTATATAAAAATTTCAAATTTTTCCATTGAAAAACAACCCATGGGAAATTAGTGAAAATTAATTTGAAAAATCCAAATTAAGCAAAAATGCAATCTCTCACATTTGAATATTTTTCTGGAAAACTACTAAAGGATAAATTATGAAACTTTTGGGATAAAAAGAAGAAAGTTAGAAGCTCATTATGCTAAAATTTCAAATTTTTCCAGTGAAAAACAACACTATGAGAAATTATTGAAAATCAACTTGTAAAATTGAAATTAAGCAAAAATGCAATTTCCTACATTTAGATATTTTTCTGGAAAACTACTTAAGGAGACATTATGAAACTTTTTGGATGAAAATAGGAAAGTTAGGAGCTCATTATACTTGAATTTCAAATTTTTTCACTGTAAAATAACACCATGGGAAATAAGTGAAAATCAACTTGCAAAATCCAAATTGAATAAAAATGCAATCTCTTACAGTTGAATATTTTTCTGGAAAATTACTGGATGGAAAATTATGAAACTTATAAAGAGGAAAGTTGGGACCTCATTATATTAAAATTTCAAGTTTTTCCATTGAAAAACAACACCATGTGAAATAAGTGAAAATCATCTTACAAAATCCAAATTAAGTAAAAATGCAATCTCTCACATTTTGATATTTTTCTGGAAAACTACTGAAGAAAAAATTATAAAACTTTTAGGATGAAAAGAGGAAAATAAGAAGTTCATTATACTGAAATTTCAAGTTTTTCCAGTGAAAAGCGCCACCATGGGAAATTCGTTAAAATCAACTTGCAAAATCTAAATTATACAAAAATGCGATCTCTTAGATTTTAATGTTTTTCTGGTAAACTACTTGAGGGAGAATTATGAAACTTTTAGGATAAAAAGAAGAAAGTTGAGAGCTCATTATACTAAAATTTCAAATTCTTCAATTAAAAAACAACACCATGAGAAATTAGTGAAAATCAATTTGCAAAATCCAAATTAAGCAAAAATGCAATCTCTCACATTTGAATATTTTTCTGGAAAACTACTGTACGGTAAATTATGAAACTTTTGGGATAAAAAGAGGAAATATAGGAGCTCAACAACATGAGAAATTAATGAAAATATAACTTAAGCAAAAATAATTGTTGTTCCTTACCATGTAGCATTCCTATCTGCTTCAATAAATCCAAATCATCGCTAACTCCAAACTTATCATTAAATTGAAAAATATACTCCATCTGGTCATTGGAGATGCTACAATTAATTTCAGTCTTTCTATCTGTATTGAGAATAATAAATGGTAATTTTATGTAAGAGTTTGTTCCTGGAACACCGTGCAAAGCTTCCATTTCTTTATTCCTTTGAACCAAGCTTTTGAAAGCGATTTGACTGGTTATCAGCTCATAGAATTGTTTCTCCTTTTCCCTGATAATTTTCGTTTTCTTGTGCACTTCCATTTCCAATTGTTGGCACTCTTGCAAGGAATTCGTGGGCAACCCGATCCACCTGATTTCTTTTTTCTCTTTGGAGATTATATTCATAGCCATGAGGACATTCAAAGCATCATATACTCTTCTCCTGATGTTCTTTTGGTCATACTGATCAGCTAGAGGACTGTTAATGGAATGCTGTTGCGCAGTAAACTCTCTCACCAAATCGTCAGCCACTTCGTTGTAAGTCGTGGTAACTTTTTCTTTAACTTTTTCGCACACTTTCATGGAAAAGTGCCTCAGACCACGACTGAGCTTTTCAGATTTCCTTAAACGTTTACTGAAACAATAACAATTAATTATTATTGCTAGGATTTTTTTTTGATAGGTGAACATTACTTTTCAGGAGCAAATTCTACATGTTCCACAGAATCTGCACGTTTCCTGGACAAAATCGGAGGCGAAATGTTTTTTGTGTGCTGATAATGCTGAGCGGGTGGCGATTGCTGAATCACCGGCACAGCCTGCGAAATAGGACTATGCTGGATGGAGAACATTCTTTGTTGGCCTTGCGGGGTTAACTTGAGGCTTTGCATTTGAGCCTGCGTTAATCTTATGGTTTTTGTACCTTTTGGGATGTTGTTGACTGGCGAGCCGATATTGATGGGCACTTGCTCTGAAAATTAAGGTTTAAAAACAAGAGTAATTGGTCCTTGATTGGGTATTAATATTGCAAGTTGAATTGAAAATATCTTACTTGTTGTTACGGGTGAGTTTGTAGTGAAACCTCTAATCAGTTGTTGAGATTGGGGTAATGAGGTAGTGTAAATCTAAAATTGGAAAAAAAAATGTTATGCTTCTTCAAAGAATTAAATGTATGTAGTAGTAAAATGTAAAATACTATAACTTGCTAGTGCAAGGTCAATAAAAAGCCCCTTTAACTGTCGACCATCTGTTGATTCCCCTTCAAAATATACATAACAATGTACGGAGTTACAAAACATTGGATTTTCTTTCACAATGGTGAAAATAACAAGCAAAGAAGTCCGTTATAATAGGTACATCAATATGCTTTGTTTTTAATTTAACAATAATTTTCTAACTATAAAATCACTATGAATTGGGTATTTATTTATAATAAAAATTTAAATAAATATTTAGATTTTATGGATTTTCTCTGATTTATTGTTGCCTTATTTTCTTGTAAAATTAAACAACAAACATCGCACATAAGAAGATTTAAAGACAAAAGCCCTTCCATTAAAAACAAATTAAAACTAAACAGCCATTATTCAAAGAGAACGTGAGGCGGCGAGGAAGCAAGCTAGAATTAATGGAATTAAAATTTCTCAAAGTTTAATATCTGCATTTTGGATTAAAGTTTTCTCTCTGAACAAGCTGAAAAAGGATTATTATGCGTCAGTTGAGTAAGATTAATGTTTCAAATTTTCGCATATGCAACGTTTTTATTGTTAAGATTTGAAGCCGAACTTTTTCCAAGGAAAAATAAATATTTGGCACTATTCCTGACTAATAATCGATTGTCTAACCCGCATTTAAGGTTTCGTTTTATAATATTCTACCCAAAGGGAATAATCTAATCAGAAAGTTGCTGGAATAAGTTCGTGTGCGCAACGATAACCATCTGAAATTGCATTGCCGGATGTTTATTTTGTATGTGTGGAATATGCAGCTTACAAAAATGGTATTTTAACGATTCAGTTTAGAATTTCCATTTTCCCAGAAACTTAATTTATTCTGTTCAAAGTTGAATAATGTAAAATGAATAATTATTAATGTGGTTCTTTTATTGATTTGTAAAACAATCAGGATACAATCCAATTGATATCCCATTAAATAGCTGTTTTTACTATTTAAACTATACCTACTTTTTTGTGAGATACATAAATAATTTTGACTTATACCTATGTGACATCTTTTTCTAAATAAAATCATATCTGTTTTAATTTCGTGGGTTAGAGGACAGGACCTGTCCTCTAACCCACGAAATTAAAACAAATCTTTGCAAGGACACGAAATGATCACAGTTAAAATCATATCCTAGTGTATAAATACTTATGTATAAAAATGTATTTACCAGACTTTTAATGTGATAGTTATTGCAAATACATATTCAATAATAATTACCTGCGAGGAATCCCCAGCTACTGAAGCTGTTTTAAAAAACTTCACAGGCGTTCCTCCCACTGTAGAAGTCATCAGGCTGGCCATAGATTTTCCAGACGACTGGACTATTTTCATTATTTGTGGTTGTCCTGCGTGTAAAAATTTGCATTAGCGAAATTTATGAGAAAAAAATTTAATTAACTTAAAAGCTAAATAATTTGTGTTTATAGGTATGTATTTATGATCAGTGATTAATAATAATCTGTTTGCATTCAAAATTCAAGCTAAAATCTCTAGAATTTTGAGTGATTTTTCTTTTCTGGTTTCTGAATGATATTGAAGTTAATAAATTTTCTAAAAAAAAAAATGAAAAATATGAAAGTAGTGGTCAAGGGGCAAACCACCTAGGAATTCTTTGGAGGAATATGTGGGGAATTTGGAGGAATTTATGGGCAATTGAAGAGCTGTATGGTATGAGAAATCGAGGGGGAATTTATTGGTTTTGACACTGAGCGTAATAAAAATAGAAAAAAACATTTTGGGGATTTCCAGGGAATTTGTAACCAACATTTGCAGGGAATTTGCGAACAGTTTAGAGAGATTTTTGGGGACTTTGGAAGAATTTCCAGGAAATTTGAGGAACCTCGAAGCTTGAACAGCTGAAAACTATCCAAGCTGCGTTGAAATCATTCACTCGTAGAGGATTTAATTGACTTCATTTCAAGCCTAATTATGTCAGGATCGGATTGAAATTGACAAAAATGTGAAGTAAAATGTGGTTCAATTTCATTTTTGAAAAAATCGAGCTTTAAAAAACGACATTGAAGGATTGGCTTGAAATTTTTCAAGTGGATGAAGAAAGGACCGCAATTTAAAAAAAAAATGGTTTTTCTGCTTCTTCTTTTCGTTGTGTTCTGTTTCGTTTCTTGTGTAATGATTTCATCTTGTTTATTTTTCTCTATGGTTTCTTGTTGTTTCTTGTTCTCTCTGGTTTCTGTTTTTTTTTCTGTTTCCATAGAATTTGGAATTCCTTTTTTTCTAGAGCAGCATTGGCGTGTGGTAAGGTTTGCCTGACGTATTATAAAGTCTCAACAATAGTTATTTATGCAACAAGTGTGTAAAGTGAACCTTTTCTCACGAATGTGAATTTTGACGCACGAGCCGAAAGCGGGTGCGACAATCACATGAGTGAAAAAAGGTGCTTTACGCACGTATTGCATACAAAATCTTTTCTACTAACAATCAAATACGTGCAAAAAATTTAATTTAGGCAAATACTTTATGCACTAATGCGTAAAGAATTTTCACTTCATGCACTAGTGCGTGAAGTAATTTACCAGAAAAATGCCAAATTGACAATGTTGACATCTGCCATTGACATTACTTTACGCACTAGTGCGTGAAGTGAATTACTTTACGCACTAGTGCGTGAAGTGAAATTTTACGTCTTCTGAATAGTGCGTAAAGTGAGTACCTTACGCACGGTAGTACAAAAAATTTATTTATGCAACAAGTGTGTAAAGTGAACCTTTTTTCACGAATGTGAATTTTGAAAATCACATGAGTGAAAAAAGGTGCTTTACGCACGTATTGCATACAAAATTTTTTCTACTACCAATCAAATATGTGTGAAGAAATAAATTTAGACCAATTCTTTAAGTACTAGTGCGTGAAGTATTTTCACTTTACGCACTAGTGCGTGAAGTAATTTACCAGAAAAATAGTAATTTGACAGTGTCAACATCTGTCATTAACATCACTTTACGCACTAGTGTGTGAAGTGAAATACTTTACACACTGGTGCGTGAAGAGAAATTTTACGTCTTCTGAATAGTGCGTAAAGTGAGTACTTTACGCACAGTAGTAAAAAAAATATATTTCTTAGAATTGTTATACAGAAATTTCAATTTTTTCTGCATGGCCCCTGTCAGACAAAATGTCTGGCCGCGCCACTGTCTATAGCTACTTTTATTATTCATAATTTCCTCTAAAAGAAACTTCTTAGTGCATAAACTAGTCACAACCTCCACCCAGAGAAACTACCTACTTTTTCAGTTGTAGTTTAAAAAATACTTAAAAGTTTAATTTTAGAAAAGGAAATAAGTATTTCAGAAAAGAAGAACTTTTAATTCTGAGCAGAGAAATTGAATTTAAGAATTTTAAATCTAATTTCAGAATAGGGAAAATGAAATTCAGATTAGGAAGTTGAAACTAAGAAAAGTAAAATTGAAATCGAGAAATATTGTCAATTATAATTTACAAAAAGGGAATTGTCGAGGGGTAATGGGTAAACCACTAGTGGAAATCATAGTACATTTTTTTGAGAATCATATAGTTATCAGTCACAAATACATGGAAATCACTTGGAGTCCCTGGTAATAACCTGGGAATTGCTAGGAATCTCCTAAAACTCTATGGGAATCACATAGGAATCCATTGGCAATTGCTGATAATCTTGTGGTAATCGCTGGAAATTTTATCTTATTTTAACCCAGAAATCCCATATTAAACGATACAGCGTGTATGTGCCTTAAAGACTGAGTTTTAGGCAACATTGAGTGCTAGACAATTTGATATCCCAACCAGTTTCATAATAACTGAGTCAATAACTAAACCCGAGACTACCAAGGGTTTAGAACTTGCAGAAGAATAAGAACAAAATGAAGATTAGGTCTGTTTTCACAGAAATCGTAAACCAATTAGAGCATTTTTGATTGTTGTAAATCGCCAACAACCAGTTTTCTGACTATTTTCAACCAATAAAATCCGCTTTGACTGGTTTGTGATTTCTGTGAGAACAGACCTAAAGTATGACAAATCATAAAAATGAGAACATAAATCTTGAAACCTCTCTCAAATCCGAGTTGCCAAAAAAACACAGAATTTTTTCACACATTAGGGTTTAGCAATTGCGAGATTAAGAGATTATTCAGGGCTCAACTTTAATTTGGTTCTTCTCAGAAAAGCAAGGACGTTTGTCGATCGAGTATTAAGAACTATGGGAATGTCCCTGAGAAAGATATGAAAGAAAAAGTCGGGAATCCAAGGCAGTAATAACTTGAAAAAGGAAAGTAGAATAAATACTAGGCTGGCCGAGAAGCAGAGACAATAGTATATCTAAATCAGAAATAGATTTGTTGAGTGAAACCCTAACTGAAGATGTATTTGATTCAGATGAACATTCTAGTGAAATCAAAAAAATATTTGATAAGTGTTCCTGTCTGTCCTTCTCGTCAAATCATAATGTTCTTAGAATTCATATAGTATTAAGGATGTTTTGTTAAATACGTGACTTGGGTATGAATTTTGATACAAATATGTCATTTAATGACCATATAGTAACTACGATACAGAATGCACAGAGAATAATGGGATTCGTGATAAGAAATACCAAAAATTTTAGGATTGACATAAGCTTTAAGCTCTTTGACACTTAAGTGCTCCCTAAACTAGAGTATAATAGTATTACATATATTATATGGTCACTACAGTATAATGCGAGGGGTGAATAGCTGACCCAAAATCTGTACACCGACTGCCAAATTCCACAATCTCGAAGGAAATTTGCTAAAATTGTGAGCGATTGTGTACGATTGTGACTTGTGAGTGATTGTGTACGATTGTAAATGATTGTGTGAGGATTGTGACTGATTGTGAGCGATTGTGACTGATTGTGTAAGAATTTTGAATGATTGTGTTAAGACAATGATTTGTATGAATAAAGGGTAGCAAATGCTTTTACCCTACCTCCGCCTCTTTTTACTGCATTAAAGCTGAATATGTTTATCTCAAAAAAAATTAAGCAAAAGCATTTGCTTCTGTTTTATTCATATGAGCCAATAGGTGTTTTCTCAGGTTTTTAATACTGGTTTAAAACAATGTCACATGGCGTCATAACTTGTCGGCGCGAGAAAATGGTTTTAAAACGTGGATTGGATTGTATTTCGAAACAGTTTGACCAATGTTGATGTGACGTCATGGGTTCATCGCAAGAATATACTGTTTCAAACCTGTTTTGATACAGTTTCAAAAAGTGAACGTAAGAAAACAGCTCTGGTTTATTAATTGGGTTAGAATAAAATAACAAAATATCAAAACTGAATTTATAAATAAAAAGAATATTCAGTTTTTTTGTTTCTTATACACAGTACTCTAAGCAGTTGTACAGGGTGGCGCAGAGGAAACGCATGTTTTTCACGTAGTTATAAGCAAGCATAACGTTTTTTATTTCAAAGATAATTTTGTTTCAATTTGGTACTCGATTAGGAACAGCTAAATGAAGTAATAATAGTGCATTTCTCAAATAATGAGTCAATTAATAATGAAAAATAATATGTCAAAAATTATGGTCCTGCTTTGGAGTCACACATCTCCAACCCCTCTTGAAAGTGGTTCATCACAACTTGAAACATGCGTTTCCTCTGTGCCACCTATAAAATCTAATTTTTTTAATTACAGGGTGTCCCCGTTCAACTGGTCAAAAATGCTAGGGTTTATAGAGGAACCATAGAAAAGTGGTTTGAGATAGGACAGCGATGGTCGCAAGTGCGTCGTTTCGAAAATACAGGGTGTTGAAATTTAAACAACCCCCAAATTTTCAGGGATTATTGATATAGGAATGATATTTAAAAATTCGTATATTGCACCCCCATTTTCTACCTGAAACCACCTCGAAAAAAATAAAATTTGAAAAAAAAGCAATTTGTTTCAATTTTTTTTAAATTTTTTTTGGGGTTGTTCCAGAAAAATTGGGCTGCATTATAAATTTTTAAATATCATTCCTATATCAATAATCCCTGAGAATTTGAACAGCCTAGCATCAGCCCTCCAGGGGGTCAATTCTTGAATATTCTCGCATACGAAAGTTGGTACGATTTCGAATGACAGCAACGTAAATTGAACAGGGAACGTTTGAAATCATCTCAATTTTCGCACGCGAGATTATTCAAGAATTGGGCCCCAGATGATATGAAAGGGGGTTGTTTAAATTTCAACACCCTGTATTTTGGAAACGACGCACTTCCGACCATCGATGTCCTATCTCAAACTACTTCTCTATGGTTCCTCTATAAACCCTAGCATTTTTGACCAGTTGAACGGGGACACCCTATATATACCGGGTGTTTGAATTTAAAAAAATCAATACAGA